TGACTCTGTACCTTATTTGGACTCAATTCATTATGCAGGCAGCGACTGTACCTCACACTGCGCCGTGGCGTTTGGATGCCAACTCGTGAGATCTGGACAACATGCCCTAAGCACTGAATAATTACAAGACAGACTGACAGCAGTGTTTCTGCAATTTACAGGAGTCCGTATCTTTTATTTTCCAATAGACACATTTTAAGCTGAATTTGACTTTCCTGGTTATGGTTAACTGTGTCTCTTTAGAGCACATTCTGAATAACGTCTCTACTCCATCATTTCTTGAAATCTACATTACAAAGGATCTTTAGAAGTCTGCGGTCTGGCTACGCATGTCTGCTGCAGTGATATAAGTTTATGTTCTGCTGAAGGGCCATAATATACTCCGATTCATTTTAAAACATTATGGCTTTCAAGTTTTTTTTAAATGTGAAACCTATGAGATGAGCAACTAAGTGCTTCTCTACACTGCTCTCTCCCAGATGTTCTGAGGATGGAATAAAAATAACCACAAAACTTAGCACACTGCTTAAAGCATCCAAACTATCGCGTATCCCAGAGTGTAAATAACTGCATCTATAAAAACAGTGTGCGTAACGTGTACATGGCTGTAGACTGCTGCCTAGACGTATTATCACGAACCCCCCCCCAAAGTAATTCACTCCCCCTCCCTCCCTTCCCCATCTCTCTCTCTCCCTTTCCTCCTTCCTCTCTCCCTCCCTTCCCCCATTCCATCTCTCTCTCGCTCTCCCTCCCTCGCTTCCCCCATTCCCCGTCTCTCTCTCTCTCCTCCCTCCCTCTCTCCTTCTCCCACCCCACAGTCTCTCTGCCCTCTAAAAGCTTCTCCCTGCCTTTCTGGGTTTGTAAGGTCCTGATGACGTCACGCCGAGCAGAAGTGGCTGCAGTGGAGGATGGTTCAGAGAAGGAGAAGCATCACTAGGCTAAAGCAAACTAGTTTTTTTTTTCCATCCATCCACCTGTCCTTCTATACCCATTGGAAAAAGCCCAGCACCAGAAATGGGGGAAATATAATTCTGTTTTCCCTTTATCTGGGTAAGATACAGAGTGGGGGTTTTTCGGTGGGCTGGGGGGTGGTCTGTGGCCCACAGAGACGTATCCTCAGATGACATAATGCAGTACTGAAATTGTCGTACCCCCCTCCCCTCCAGAGAAAGAACAGCAAGTTCTTAGTTAATATTATTGATGATGCAGAGCCCAGACAATCACCTGTAAGAAACTGTAAGTTTCTTACATTTTAAATATAAATATAACTCATAGCCCGTTTTTGAAATTTACATTCTCTATAAATTCAGCTGGCAACAGCTTTATCATCTGGCAATTCACTACGTACTTTCCAGAACAGGCTATAGACTAACAGCTATGGGATTATAAACACAGACACACACGTGACACATTAAGAGGCCAGCGGCGATGAATCATGCTGCAGGGTTGTTCTCATAGACCTGTCACACTTCTTACATCAAAGGTCCAAAGGCAGACTCCTGACTGACTGGCAGTTCAGCCATCTGGATCCCATCAGACCTGACCCTCCGCTTAAGGTCCCAAAACCTTCACAAGAGGCACAGACTCTGCCAAGTGTGACATGGCTTCTCATCCATTTTGGTTTGGGCATCACAGAATTTGTAACATAAGTTTAGAAGAATTGATTTATTGACTTGTATTGTTTGATCAGTTGTATGTTAGTGTTATGCGGAATCTGCTGTTTAAAATTAATGTATAAGATTATCTACCGGACTTTGGGGGGGGGGGGGGTTGTTTAGATGAAGGGGGATAACAGGAAGCAGGAAGCTGCTAGTTTGCATGTGGAGAATGTCGGTGTGAATCCTGGAATGGAGCTGAATCAGCCTCCATCCATTGTGGGTTATTGTATTAAGAAGGTGCACCCATCTTTCAGGAGAAGCCACAACTTACAAACCGAAGGAGGTTAACGCTCACAAATCCAGAAGATTTCACTTTCTGCAGACCAGCTTTTGTCTTTGATTCTTGGTGATGGGGAAATGAGGCACTGGAGGGATTGTGGCACCCTGACAAACAGTGCATGGCTTAAATCATACCCTCTTTCTTACCATATTGATTCCCATGGAGACAAATCACATGGTAATGCAAGTCACAAAACACCCAAACCTCACTTCTTTCATCAGAATCTATGCTTCAAATTTTCTTTTAGGGATGGAAAAACACAGATATAATATACGAAGGCTGTTAATGTGTCAGTAGTGACTGAAAACGGGGAGAGGCTGAAAATATCTGAACTGGAAACTGATTCTTGAGGGGGCTGACCATTTTAGAACCTTATCACCAGATAGTGTCAATTATTTTGTCAAGTAACACATATTCAAAATCAAAGAGATAAACAAAAGAAGGGCCGTTTTAATTGATGTGTTGAATAGACAGAAACAAGAATACAGAATTCTTTTTCAAACCTCTGGCACAAATGAAAGGTACAGAGCACAAACTGTTCAAAGCAAAAGGAAGCACGGTCCTCTATTTTTACAAGCTACTTCTAAATCAAGCATTCAGTGAGGCACAGCGGCAGACCCAACAAGAGCAGCGCACATCGCTCTGACGCTAACATTACATCAACAGCCCTTCAGGAAGGGAACCGAGAGTGGATCAGGAAAAGAGGCTGCAGAGCAATGCATCTGACACACACCGGCAGGTATAATAAATGCAGCACTGCGCTCAGTTCTGCCACCTAGCACTATGCAATCTATTTCTGGATGCCCTCTGCATGCCCCATTAATCAAAGAGCCCTGTGTAGCTGTTAGTCTGTGAGTGAAAGCCAGCCTGGAGCTCCAGCAGCCCGGCCGACGCTCCATAAACCAGCCGCCGCGCAGCGGAGTCACATTCGCTCCGTGGACCCGCTAATCCGCGCGCGACTCTCTCTGCATTGTTGCGTTTATGTTTTATTAATATCTTACACATGTAGCTGATGCTCTTATCAAGGACAGCTTTTTGGTGAGTTAACACAGGAGCTTCTCCATTGCCACAGCTGCCGGTTTCGTGCATTTGTGCAGTTAGGGGCCTCCTGAAACCTTTAACATATATCCATGTATCCACCTAACCATCAGTATTCCATACACGCTGCTCCGTTTCATCGCCGCGGGGATCCGGAGCCTATCCCGGAAGCTACGAGCAGGGATCAACCCAGGAAGAGGCGTCAACTAACTAATACCCCTTTATCACTTTTTTTGGGAACTCTCCTACCTGCTGCTTGTGTTGTGCGTCGTTGTGTCCAGCTTCATGTTCAATCAGTAACAGAAGATACATCAATTAGCATTTAAAATATTATTTTATTAGTATTCTTGTGTCAGATTAACAGCAGCCTTCTAGCAAACACTTTAATTACTAGTGTATGCAAGAATTACCATGTATAGAGATTCGACATATATAGTCTTTATTAACCACTTATTAGTTTAGCATTTATACGTTATAATATAACATACAACTGAACCAACTCCCTTTCTCAGGACTTGTTACATTTTTTCGATTCAATTTCCATGTTGTCGCTGCCTAATAAAAAATCCAGGATTGGTTGTTGTTATCGACTGCGCATGCTCAATCAGAAATAAATGAAAGTTTAGCGTTTTGATATCCGTATAAATATGTACATTTTTAAAATTACGTATATTATTATATTTCATTATTAATGTTGCTGTGTCATTGTGTTTAAAATGTACAATCTGACGACAACTATTATTTAACATTTTTCTGCAGAGCGCCTATATCGCCTGCGCCAGCAGAGGGCATTATCGTGAGTGTTCCCGGAAAGAAGATTATATATATTACATTTTGGAAATGTGGACCTGGTTCTTTTCGTATTATTCGTAACGTTTTACATTAACGTGGTAGGTGAATATGTACGGCATTTATATAAATGCGGTGCTTTGCAGAAAACGAAATATACAATAGTCCCATAAAGATTATATAATGCATTAATTCGTGACTGGTATTCACATTCTTTCGTCTTCGTACATATTGAATGCGCCACGATCTTTCACCTTAACCAATGTGATTCAAATTTTTATCCTGGCTCGATCTGACGAAGACTATATAGCGTAATAATTCGTGACTGGTGATCACGATTTCTCGTCCTCGTTCACATTGAATACACTACGATTCTTCAAGGTAACTCGTGTCATTATTCTGGCTCAATCAGGTGGAGCATGCTGCCATCTAGCGGCCCTATTTCATATACAGCTTGCAGCTGAATCGCTGAATGTAATGGAATTTTACACACGGAGAAATCAGGTTTCCAGTCATTGGCTCATTATTAACTTTTTCTAACTGCCGTCTCTCACTTATAAAGAAGTAACATTATACAATGTTATAGACTAACAAATCTCAAATTCATAATTGGCATTAGTTTTAATAGATCTTGCGATTGTTAGCCTACTATCCCCACTTATGCTTTGCCTTCAGTGCCATATATCTAATTATTTATTAGATTATTTCATCAGCCGGACCCTGTAAGCTAAAACCAATAATGTTGATTTAAAGACCGCTATAGTGAATCATACTTTTACCTACATACCCAACAATTCATTCTGTTTTAATGGAATCTTACATTTTCGAGTTAATAACTGGTGTTTTGCTACCTGCATACATGTAATTTTAAATTGATACACAGAAATGCACAGTAAAGTCTTAATCTATATATTCCAAGACATTAGCAAATACATAAGTACTGCATCTGGTAGTGGCTGGCTGCTACAGTAATTCATTTTTAGCGCCATTAAATCATCGTGGACTATTGTTACATCTTCATAGACAAGTAGTATTGACACTGATTACAAAACTGGCCGTAAACAAAGGGATTCATGAGGGATTTTTAAAGCGTATTATTCACATTACGTATGTGAATATTATGTATTTTCATACATACATTTATGTATGAAAAAGGACTTAAACTTACATTTATTGTTTTTTTCCTGGATGATTCAATATGCAGATCTTTTAATAAACAAAATAGTCTTTTTAAATCGCATGGCAAAGTTCATTTTTAATTACATGTGCAAGAGACACATTACTACATGTGAACCAATGTAACAACTGAGCTCATTCTAAGATTTACTAGGAGATATTACACAGAATTCCAGCCTAGGCAAGGCATGTAAGAAGTGTGTAATGATGTCATCAAAAAGTCTATGAGGTTACATAGAATCCTATGAATGAGCAATTTTAAAAAATCTATGGCCATCAACGTACATAGGCAATAAAACCTAAACGCAGGACGTGTATCCGCACAAGTGATCACCACGTCAGTAATATCAGTGTGCCTGTTGATATACAAATCAAGTATGAACTCTGTTAAATTATCGAACTCTGTCAGGTGACTTCATCTCCTGTAAGAAGAATGGTCAAATTAATAAAGTAGTCTCCAGGTGAAGTTTTGGGGGGGTTTGGCAGGCAGTGAAGCCCAGCGTATAGATTCCCTTACAGATTTAAGGCCCAGAGCTCAGGACTGTGCCGTCTCCTCCAGTTCCTTCTGCTTCAGCTCCTGTTTGTACCTGCAAGAACATTGTGAGTGACATCATGAAGCAGGCATCTACTGACTTTATCATCGTCGGGTTTAATGGTTGTAAGAACTAAAGCCATATTATGCACCCACTACCAAAGATGCAGATTGTGGGAAGAGCTCCAAGTTTGAACCTCAACATACATGGGCATAGACAATGAGAAAGCAGCAGGTGCGATTACAATAATCTGCAATTACTTATGAGAGAAAAACATAATTACTCAGTTACTCCAGTATATCAAGTGTGTTAGTTTGGAGGTTAATCTGCAGTGAAGCTAATGCCACTGACGATTCACCATGTTAGCTGTCGGTCACGACGTCCTCGCGCCGTCCAATCAGCTCAGAGCCGCACGGCAGTCCAGCCAGCGCCACACTAAAGCTGGCAAAATGCCCACTAAAGAACCCCATTATCTTTATTGCGTCTACAGAGATAATTACCAGTTATTAGGGGATTAATTTTTATCTTAAATTATATACCTTAATGGTTAAATTATGTTATTGTTATACTTTGCGTGATAAAAACCTGAGAGTGTATCTGTGATTATGGTGTTATATCTCTAAGAGATCTTGTGCACACATTTCCTCTTATCTCGCACTCAGACTTCCATTATTAGCCATGTCACTAATGTGCTGAAATTGGTCTATAAACTGACCTGCACTTGAGGCTTAATGAAACTGCAAGCAAAGGACCCACGTGTCGAGGACTATTACAGCCCAATATGTCACCTTATACTCAGGTAACCTATCTGTTCACTCGGTTTGTCCTTAAAGACAGAGTAAAGCACTGAAGCTGATTTCTGAATCACAAGAAAGTGTCCATTCCTGTAAATGTTTCTGTTTTCAACCCTGCAAGTCCCACACATCCAAGCTTTTCCAGTCCCTAAATCACCTGTTCGTGTGTTTTCAGCACAGGCGGAGTTTGGAGGTGGGGGTCGTTAATTGGCAAGACCAGCATTGCGCTACGTTCTATGCTGACACTTTGCACCTTTACATAAGCGGTCTGTTGGTACCCTATAGGCAGACAGAGTAAGAGGTCATGTGTGCATCAGATACATGCATTAACACATAAGGTAAGCAGGATGTGAGGTTTTGCCCCAGTAAGTGCAAACATCAAACTCCACCTAGGTCCCATTCAGAGGTGTCTCCGTACCTTAGGAAAGGGACACTTTGCTCTGAATAAAGACCTCATTCCCAGCTCTATTCCCTATTATGTGGTTCCGTCTACTGCACCAACCAAGTTCCTTCATAATCATGAGAACTTACCTGATTTCTCACCATCTTGTCTTCTAAAACACCTTTTGATAGTACAGACGCTCTTCTACTTACAAACTTTCAACTTACGAACTTTCAGACATACAAATGAAGAGGACTGTAAGTCCAAATTGTGTTCCTTGGGCTCCCGTTTCCTGTCCGCAACATCAGTTTTTTTTTTTTTCGGCTCGCCAATCCCGCCTAGTACGCCTTCTGGCCGCTACTCCCGCCGCGCAGCAGCGTAGCGTGCGTACTCCCGCCATCCTAGTACTTTGTACTTGCGTATACGCTTAAAATTATGTTGAATAACGACTTACAAACATTTCAAGTTCAGAATGCAACTAGTTCGTAAGTAGTGGAGCGTCTGTATAAGCTTGTATTTACAGAATGATGCATAAAGTGCTTATAGTGCTCTGCTGTGACTCCACACGTGAGCCAAGCCCACATTTTTTAGGTGAGAATCAACCCCTACCCACCTTTTATGAGTTTTATAGCTATACAGCCACAAGCCTGATCACCTGTGAGCTAGCACCTCCAAACCTGTCACCACAATACCAGATGAGAACAGGGCCGCGGGCGGGTGGGGGTGTGCACTCACTTCCAAATTCGGAACAGCTGGGAACTGCCAGCAGCACCAACAAAGAAGTTGACTGCGAACAGGTTCCAGTTCTTGGGGATGATGACCAGAGAGTACCTGGACCAAATAAGACCTGGACGGGAACGAGGCTGATGTAAAAAACTAATATCCATTACAGAGTGAAGGAAAACATTACCAGTGAGCAGAGAGTAGAGCCAAGGGATCCTACATCATGCACCACCACGGACATTAATCTCTGCGGCCATATTTAGTTATTACGAGTTTACATTGTGATTCTTTGGCTGAGAATCCATCCATGGCTTGGAAGATGTAAAGTATAAACATAGTACAGCAGAGACAAAAAAAAACAGTGAGGAGGAGCTACAGATAAGCTTTAGCCACAACCTAATTCAGCACGCAGCATTACAAACAGCACACAGCCACAGAGCGCTGCACCAAACCTGACCATCTGTACCTGTGGCAGTCAGTACTGCAGACTGGGAGGTACTGAGCTTCTCAGCAGGTCGAGTCAGGTCTGCCAGGCCGGCAAGTACCAAGCCCTGGGGGGAGGAACGTGTGTTCAGCAGAGTTACATCCAGCTCACCCATAAACACAGACATGCAACTGAACCAGGAATGACGAAACATGCCATTGATTTTATTAGTCAGTAACCAAAGCATGGATTTGCATACAATACCCATTTGAACACTGGAGCCCAGAAGAATACGGTCTTCGGACCTTAAAGGAAAGGAAAAGATGCAGCCATGTCAGAAATCACCTCCCCCCCTTAAGGTGGACTGGCCAATTCATTCAGTGACTGAATTACAAACAATAAAACTATACATATACAATAACAGTATTTAGAATATGACATAGATCATGGAAATGGTCTGGTGGATATAAAAGGATTATGTGTAAGTGGACATTAGCATGTACCATGTACCAGGCCACATAGATCATAAGGCCAGGATATACACTGGACACAATACCTGTCCATCATACTGCACCAACACAAGCAGACACACTATGAGCAACTCAGGGAAAGCAATTAGCTAATCTGGACTGTGGGAGAAAACCCACATGCTCTTCAGAACACATGCAATTTACAGGTACACAAAGAGCAGGAATGGGATTAAAACCCTCAGTCCTGCAGGTGTGAGGCAACAGTGCTACTCACCATCCAGTTTGGTAGCTATGTATATTTCTACTAACTAAATTTAAAGGGAAACTATGAACTTCCATTACGAAGTGTACAAACAGAAGCTATTGCACAAGCCACCAGTTCCTCACCATGAGAGCCTGACATGTCACTAAATTAGTTATTTATTCGGGTAGTCATGCAGTGACCCTCGTTTTTTCTGCATAATGAAGTAATAATTTCTGTTATTTTGAACCCAAACAACCCCCCACCCCAGGAAACCGTTATTGTATTCCTCGTGAGACAAATAATGTCCTTAACCTCCTGAGACCCGACCTATTCATTTATGTCCATTGTGGTGGACATTGTATTTTTGCATTTATTTTTTCACTGATGTTGGGAAACATATTTATTCTTGTAGTGCACTAAAGATGACATGCTGTGAAATTAAAATAAGAATAAATTTGAAAAAATCTAAATTGTAAGATGTCTTATTTCCTCCAAAGACAAATAACCTACAATTGAAGGACACTTTTTTCCTTGGGTCTCAGGAGGATAAAAACACAAACAGGTACTCTATGAATTTATGGACACATTAACGCCTTAAAAAGGTCCATGGCTCCACGAATGAAACGATAGTCAGCCAATCAAAAGCGGGGAGTGGTGTAGGTACCGCCCCCTTCTTCGTGTGAATGACCCGTAATTAGCCACCTCCGATTTCTATCAAAGCCCAATAAAAGACCGCAATTTAAAGTTTAAAACTGACTTGATTTTTTAAAAAGTAGTCGCAGTATGCGTTTGAATATCCCCACTCCCCCAAATTACTGAACGGTTAGCATACTTCCTTGTATATACAGCTAACCGGTACGAATGTCACATCGGAGACATTCTATTCGCTGTCATTGAAATTTTAATTGCATAAGTTTATTGCGTATAGGCGTAGTTCGCCCCCTGAACGGCCTAGTAATTGTACTTGATGACTGAATATATCCATGAACACCACGACTGACATTCTAGGCACAAAAGTTGTAAAGTTCCGCGGTACTTAAATTTAGGCCCCACGTCCAACCTTTAATGGAGAGATGCATGACTCAATGTAACAATGATAATTACCTGCTGGATGGTTATAAATTGGTCTAAGTTTAGCCGGCAACACATGCTCGATCCTATCCAGGATCCTGTGGTACGAGGCTCTCAGCCCCACCAGGGCCATATCTGCAGCTACTATGTCCTACAAATGAAAACAAAGAAATGAATCTTTCTTCAACATGGTTTTTATAATCCTCCTCAAGTTACTACCGGGATCACAATATCAAGGGAGGTCACCTCTTGTACGCGTCATATATTTAAAAATCAACGTACCTTAAATGTCCTGTTCAAGCAAATCTTCCGTTACCGGCGGTTTTCTAGCATGGAGGACAAGCTCATAGTTGAGCAACTTCAAAGTCGCAACAAGGAGACAGCAATGTCCGCAATTTTCTGCGGCTCATCCGCTGCAGCCTGCGATTGGTCCATTCAACCCGCCCCTTTTTATGATTGGCTAAAATCGGGATCTTACTGCCGAGAAGCGAAGTGCTTTATTGTTGTTTTCGGTGAAAGTGTACTTTCCCTGTAAGGGATTGGCTTAATTGGCTTTACTTTTTGGACACTTAAGATTTTAGTGTTCAACAGATCTAAGAAATTAATTAAACTTTTTGTTATATTCGGCAGCAGTTGGTGGTGTAGTGGTTAAGAGCACAAACTAGTAACTTAAGTTTGAGCCCCCCCATAGGACAAAGCAGATCATATTTTTTTAAGTATCCTTATATATACAAGTGTAAAATGGTCGTCAGTTATGTGCGAATTAAATTAAGTATAAATAAATCGAGGATATTAATAAAATTATAAAACTAATAAAATAATTAACTATTGAAAGGGGACGGATTAGTTAATTTGGTTTCTCTAAACTGACATCCGCATGTTTTTCTTATCGATATGAACTTCAATCATGTCTAATGCAGGTCTAAGGACCGGATGTTCATTTCTTTTGTTGATAATGGGATAAATTTGAGTTGAGTAGCAGAGAGTAACAGTGACTTGTAAATTTGGGGCACTGAAATTCTTTGGCTTCAGTTTTTCTTAATTTTTTTTAATAATCAGTTTAGGTGCATGATTTCAGTAAATAGGTAGGAATGTGGTAGAAGTCGCAGAACGAGTTAAACCAGGATAAACAGAAGCAAGGAAGCATAATGAGTGATAATTTGAGTCTGGAAACAATTCAGATTTATTTATGATGTACTTACATATTTACATATTCATTCCTGAATTACAGCCTTACGTGACCAAAAAATGAGATATAGAAGCATGTAACTTCCAGTTGTGTACACGTTTTAGTAAATATAACAATTTTTCTGTATGTTAAAGTTACACGGCAGTATTTCAGTTAACTATGTTGCTTCACTCAAAATCACAGCCTAGCAGTTCAACTCTCATTGTTATAGAATTTTGCCACCTTTGAGGGACAATTCTTATAAATTTTGAAAATATTGGAGGGTATATGTAGTTTTTAACATGACTATTGTTATCAGTGTTTCCCACGAATATCTGAAAAATAAAATGCAAATAAAATATCAGTAATAGAGGAGGCTGCAATAGAAAGTTTGGTAACACTTTACTCGATGTGGCACAAATAGTGTAGTAGTAAATTCTTACTTAATGCAATAAATAACCAATGAGTAACTTTGTCACGTAGTGATCCCATTTTCATTCATCAGTAATCAATCATGACAGTTCATGTATTCCATACAGGAACTATATTACTTCATGATTTGCTCTTGAGTAGCAACTGAGTATCTAAGTTATTTGTGTCCCCTCAAGTAAAGTGCTACGAAAAGATTAGAATCCAATGGGTAGATAAGTAGAAATAGGAAAATACCTTTGGGTTACTCATTTGTTCTTCGTCTGTGTATGTTATCCAAGTTTTTCCATCATTGCTGTATTGTATTGTATATGCCATGACGTACATCTCTGTCCACAAAGATTTTGCTCCCTGAGTCACAATTCCAGTAATTTTCTTGATGTCTCTTAATTCCACCTGTAGCCAATGATCCATGTCGTTGTCCTGGAAATAAGGAAAATGAGGAAAAGAAAAGATCCGAGATTATTGGCCTTGTGCAACAGGTGCATTGGAATGCTTACTTACTCGTTGGCTGTACTCGTTTACAGAAGACAATATGAGAGTATAAAAAATAGATATAGTGAAAAAACAATACAGTGTAAAACAATACAAGACAATGAATAACAATACAGATGGCAAAAAAGCAATACCAAACTGGGTGATGTGTAGTCAGTGGCTGATAAAGTTCAGTAACAGATCTGGGTGAAGAATACAGAATAAGAGGGAATCAGAGTGGCAGCTGATGAGCAGGACTACCTTAGCCTGCCAGGCATTGATAGCTCCCTGGGCATTGAGGCGGCCAAACCAGGGATGCCAAGGACCATGGATCCTACTGGAGGCAGCTGAGCTGGCTGTGATCTGGTCATTGCCAATCCTCCCATCTTCCATTCCCAGTGGCACTGAGCAGCCTGTGATTAAATAACAAATTATCACTATCATGCCACCATCTGAGGGCACAAGACAGTTCTCGCCCAACTGATATGTAAGGATCAAAATAACATTAAACAAATGTTAAGAAGAAATGGTAAAGTGCTAAATGTATAAGTAAAGTCCTTCTAACACAGAATCTTTCATTTCAATCCATCCATCCATTTTCTATCGACCCATTCTGGTCAGGGTCTTTCACAGATTTCCAATATTCATAATATAATGCATTTTAATTACTTTTAAAGTGCACTGCATTGAAATTTGTAATCCTCAACCTACCATCAAGCTCACATCCGTAGAACTCCATGCGTACCGTTGGTCTGTTATAGGAATGGTGTGGGTGGAGCCGGATATACCGACCAATTAAAGGAGGGAAGAAAGTGTTCTCTTTGACATCATGGGAATCCTCGTTCCCTGTAAATGTCTTCATGATGAAAATAATCAGTTATTCAACCAAATACATCAAATGCACAAATACATATGACAAATTAATGTTTTCACCTGCCTTGTATGAGACCCAATTTTTCCCATCGGTCCTGTAGGAAATTGTGTAGTTCAAGACATAGTGAGATTTTAAGAAATGCTTTGCTCCTTGTGTCGCCACTTTGCTGATCACCACTGGCCTCTGGAAGTCCACCTGACATACAAATACCATGAGACACATAGTACCAGTCAAAGGTTAGGACATTCCAAGCTGCCACCTCATGACTGGCGTAGAGGAGACAGTAGGGTCAGGGATTTGAACTGGCAACCTTCACCGATCCAGTCCCACTGGCATCGCTCACCTGGATCCAGTCAGAAGAACCTTCATCCGTGCTCCAGGCATTACGTGTTCCGGTGTTATGTAGTCGTGCCAAATGCGGTTTCCACTCTCCTTCATTGAGAGGTAAGAAGATTGTAATCTAGCCTGTCAACTCATGCTTGGTGTTTTGAGGACAGGGGCTTGGACATGACAAAATTGTCAACCATTTTGGGAGGATTACGTCAATATGTCATAAATATGCTAGTTAGAAGGAATTAGCTGTTTACTTTGTATGTCTTCAAAGGCGTTTCCGTGAAATGGTAGAGAAATGTGCAATCAGTCAACCACTGGATTCAGTCTGATTATAATATCTAAAAGAGCCGATGATCTTACCTGTGTGTTTAGAGGCCGTAATTTGGTTGTCCTTTACACTGTTGGAGGCTAGACCCAATGGATGTTCACAGTCTACCATATATGAGAAAAATTGAAACAGCAAGCGTTATGCTGAAACGTTGTGCATTAAGAAAAATCACTGAAACAAAGCATGGTTTTGAGTACGCTATACCGTTATCTACAACCAGGAACAGTGTCTGCATCCCTTTCTGCTGGGAGTCCCCCACTTCAGATTCCAGCAACCAAAGCCCTGGTCTTGAAGGTAACATCTCTAGAGTTGCAAAGCTACCTATAAAATACAAGCAATGGGAGTCAGGGGATTGGAGGAATGGAGGATGTGGGCCTGTGTGTATGTCATTTAAGTAAGTATGCGAAATGGAAAAGTGTTTGAATTATTATCTATAAAGAAACGTGTTTGATGTTTAAAAAAGACTAACCAGGAAGCAGTAGATGAACAGCTTGCCGATAATCCTGCTTCTGTTTTTCCACAAAAGTTTGTCCGTGGAAATGAATGCTGTGTACGTCCTTTGGGGAGCCCATGTTGAACACATGCCACCTCACCAATTGGTTTGCATACATCCTGAGTCCTTTTAAACTGTAGATGATGCCATTTATAGCTGCAAAATAGCAATCAGCAAAATCCACAAGAGGCTAGATTATACGTCTCACATATTGTTTGCTGAAACACACATATGATAATTTATTCATTGATACCAGTAACTTTCAAACCCATCTTAACTTCTCCTCATTTATAAAATACTGCAATTTCATACTCATATATGTGTGCAAAGACATATATTGATAGTGGTGATATCCTACCAGGGAATTTCAGTTTGTCTTTGCTCGGTGAAACAGCCTTTTTGTTTTGCCTTTCGATTCTCTCCACATTTTTTTCATAATACCAACTCTTAGTTTCATCAAACGTCATGAAGAGTAAAAAGAATTCCCTCATGTCCTTCATCTCCTTGCTCAGTGTTCCTTTCCGGCAGATTAGCAGCGGGCCGATCAAGCCTGAATTGATATCTCTTTCCTGCAGATAGCAAAAAAAAAACCCTTGTTTCATGATAAAGTTATAGGAAACTACATTTGGCAGACAGCGGGAGAAATCAGTCAGGACTTACGGGGTTCACCGCAGAATAGTAAACCCATGTTCTACAGTCTGACTCATGAGACTTCGGCCCAGCACCGGAACCCACAGTCCAGACATAGCTGTAAGTGTCTTGCGGTTTAACCTCATTATCAAGTTGATACCATTGAGGAGAATCGTCATCGTATGTCATTCCTTCCATTTGTTTTGTGTAGGAAACACCGTGCGCATGCAAAGAATATGGCCTGCTGGCAAGGTTTTTGAAAAAAACCTTAAAAACAAAGAGTTTCATGATTGCATTTTTGTGACATGTTATTAATGTAAAGCAATGAAAAAGCAATTCAGCGGATAAAACAAATTCTGACCAAACAGTAGGTGGTCGTGCAAATTACTGTACGCTTCAAACATACCAGTCTTGGGTCAGCTAAAAGGTTTGTACATATCCACTGCTACAGGCTGTGATTTCTGAACATGACCTTCATAAACATGGTATCGGTGGAGACTGGATGCTGTCAGGATTTTACATGCAATGGTAATGGTTTGTGAGTTTTTTAAATATTTTAAATATCTGTGGAACCAGCTGTACTGGCATCGTTGCCTATGGACTATTTGAATACTTCTCTCCTGAATTTTGGTTATTGCCTTAAATCATGCAGTTAGTTTCATACTGTTACAATGGTTATCAGAGTACCATGATGGTCTCGTCCACTTCAGCCTTTATGACTGGACCAAGAATTCCAAGGTGTTCATCAACTTCTCCCCGGGTGTCAACTTTGCTGAAATTGATGTCCAGATATCTTTGGAAAACTACCTTAGTGAGCTTTGTAGGCCCGTTTTCAAGGTTTGATCTCTCCTGTCTCCTGCACAAATTAATGAAACTTTGTCAGGGGTGATTGGGAATTTAAAAAGAGACTGACATTCAAATATGCAGCTTCTAAATGTTGAAGCGAACAGGACAAAAATCTAAAATCCTAAAAAGAAACCTTTGCTTCATTCATCATGAAGGCTAATAATGTGCTATAGTGTTCAATTTCAGTTGCTTTTCCCGTATAGTATGCAAAAATAATTTAAATTTTTATTCCTTTACCAAATGGTCTTCAATAAATTGATTCAAATTATAATTATTTGATATATGCCTTTCTTGTCTTTAATTGTTTTTCTACTCATTATGATCTACACATCAGGATTATCATAAATAAGAATATGAGAAGATACCTTGGCCCGTATCCTTCATAATCCCATTCAACCTCTTGTGCAGCGATGAAATATACTCTCACATTTTCCCCTGATACTTGTGAGACATAATTTTTCGTGATTACATTTGTCTGGCTGTAAGGTTGCTTGTAATTCACAAATTCATATTCCTCTTCTTTGTGTTCCTCGGCGAGGATGTTAATATGGTCATAGTCAGTCAAGGTTGGTGTGTATAAATCATAGTCATTAAAGTCTTTCCTAGGTACACCTATAACCACGGCTTTTTCAGTCAGATCTTCATGACTATACAGGGGTCTTGTCCCTCTGGGGCTGAAGGCTGGAGGCGCGATGCCCCTCGGTGAGATTTCACTCCTGGGTTGTGACTTATATACCATTTTTTTCCTAGTTTTGACTGCCTGGTCCTTTTGTGGCCTAATTTTTTTATATTTCTTCTTCTTCTTTTCCGCTTCTGTCTTTTCCAGAACAAGATTTGAATCTCCTTTGATGTATTTGCCCATGTGGTCACTTATTTCCATAGCCACCATGTCATGCTGTCCTTTATAGCCCCAGTGTTCTATTTCCTGATCCAAGACGCTGCTGATAATGGCCTCCTTACTGTTATTTTTTAAGTAAATTACTATATCTTTGTCCTCATCACTGGAATCCAGTTTCTTCTCAGAGCTGTTGTCTGCATCCTTACCATGAGCTAAGAACGATTTGGATGCATTGATAAAAAGATTGTCTGGCTGGACATCCAAGGTGTGTGTTTCATTCAATGACGTGTCAACATCATTTTCCAAAGATGAAACATTCTTCAATCCAGGAAGCATGGTACTGCTGACACCTGCACTCATGGACTTTTTCTTCTCTAACAATGTTTCCTCTGAGCTTGAGTAGTCATAATCTGAAGATGTTGCTGCAGTGTGATGAACCTTTTCCTTATAAGATGACTGATCTGTGTTGGGAATAGGATGTTGCTCTTCTTTTGTTAAGTTCATATAGGTTCTGTTAAGAATGTCTGTATTTGTTTGGGACACGTCTGGTGTTGAGGTTGCTCCAGAGAAGAAACTTAAGTTGCCTTGTGTTGGTTGAATTTCAGAAGGCCTTCCATCTTCTGTTATATTCATTTTAGTTCTATTCAGAATGTCTTGGGTGTCTTGGAACAGGTTTGATGTTATAGCTCCTTCAGACAAACTTTGATTACTTTGTCTTGTAATATTATCTATGATCAGAGATGTGTCTTCATTCTCAATGTTGCTAAATATATTTTCATCATAATCAGTGGCATTGTTACCATTTGTATCAGATGTTGTGTTGTCAAGTAAGATTTCTTCACCACGAAAAGAGTTATTGGTAGATATGTTATAAAAATGCACATTTTGATCAGCTGAGTGGTTCATTGCAAGCACATTTTTATCGTCACTTCCTATAGGATCAAAATCTTCATAGTCCCACACAGAGATGTTGGTGGAGGTGTTGGAGATGCCCAGCGCGTAACTGTCTGCTGTTACATTCTCTCTCTTCTCTGTTGTATTTACAGCAAATAAGCCTTCTGCTGTGTCAGATGGCAGCCTTGTCCTCTGAACAGCAGTCTCATTCAGCTGGATCATTGGTCTTGGCATTGTTACCTGCTCCGCTGTGCTAATCCCCTCTGTGGTGGTATTGATTTCTTGGGTAGAGTGAATGTAACTGTTTCCATCTATCTCACTGATGTTGGTTTTGCCTGCAAAGTCTTTATCAGGTGTATCTTCATGACCAGGCCACAAAGGATCTATACTTTCTTCTAACCTCCTTGTGGCATTCCAAATTGTACTTTCATTGTAAGAACCCACAATCACCTTAGCTTCATTGAAAGGTGCTATTTCACCAGGCTTCTCACACTTGCCTGTCTTATTGTAGTTGCAGTCCGGATCAGTGCTGTTCTTTGTCAGTGTGGAGTGGGTGAGACTTTGATTTCTCTTTGCATTTCCAGCTGGTGATAATTGGTCTGTATGATCTAATACAGAGAGATCTATTTTCTCCATATCATCCTTTAATCCCGCCGATGTATTTTTAAATGAACGAAGGCCAAGCATGTTTACCCAGTAATCAGTAGCTTCATCCGCATCTGTATTTTCATTCTTCATCTTAACTTCTTGTTCTATTTTTTCACTGGGCTTTGCTGGTTTCCACTCCGTTACATGATCAGACTCAGGAACCTTTGGATTCTGCCTGTAGTCCTCATAGTAATAGAACTCCCGGTAGCATTCAAGGTCTTTAAACTTCAATCTCATTCCTTTCTTCGCGTCAAAAGAGTTTAATGAACTCAGAAGCCAGTGACCTACAGGTAGAAAGAGTTTAATTTTAGCCATGTGGTAAAAATAAAAACAGTAATATTCTGGATTTTGTCAGAAGAAATATCATTCTCTTATCTCTTGACTGTTTGGTTTTGTGCTAACTCACCCAAGTTATCCATGGTCATTGAGATGGTCTCTCCAGACATGGGAAACAGGGCCAACACATCCTCTGTCCTTTTATCCAGCTCAAAATTATGGCCATAAAACGTGACGGTTTGGATGTGGTCTTGTGCCCCAACACTGGTCACATGCCAGGTCACTATTTCACCATTGCAGAATAGCAAGTCTGTTCCACTGTCATATATAAAACCATTTATTGCTGTTGAAATGAAGGGCATCAAATTAAACCGTTAATTAAATTGTTACTGAAGACCAAGTGAAAGGAATCTGCATCTGAATAATATAGGGAATATACCTTCCATAATGGTAATAACTCAACTATCTGAGAGTAGATCTTAGAATCATCACATTAGAGTGCATTTTAACCAAACAAACTGAGAAACAAAGACCATAGTACTTACTATGCATCACATTTGAATTATAAAACTCTGTGTTTTCCTTGTCCACTCTTGAAGGATCGGTGCAGTATGTCTTGATGTTTTCATCAATGTACCAGCTTTTGTTCTCATCAAAAACAGCCATCATAGCCTGCTGCTCTTTATCTGCCTTCAGCTGTAATGAAACGATTTACTAACTTCTGTCAAAGTAAATACTGCTTTATTACTATTATTATTATTATTATTATTATTATTTACCAGATCATGCATTATGGCGGCTGCATACTTCAAACAAAATTGTCGAGATTGTATGAGGGGTGATTGCTGCCTGTGCATGGCCCCGTGGTCTGAGCCCCATTGTCCGTGGTTGGCTGTACAAAGCATGCAGTCTCATGTGTCACGAGTGCCCTGCAGTGTTCCGGATGTGAAAGCAAAAGGCTAAGCAATCATGAATGCCTTTGTGGGAAGACTTACTGAACTTGTGCGAAGTCATCCACATGTATATGATGGGCAATGTAGAGATTTTGAAGATGTGCAGGCAACTTGCCATTCATGGGTAGAAATTGCAAATAAGTATATGTTTATTTCTGCTCTGTATGCCTGTCTGCTGCATTGAAAAACTTCAGCGCCTTTTAGAATTGTGACGTGACATTTTAAGTATGCCACAGATTGTTCTGGCCGACATGTTCGAATTTACATCGCTTGAAGTATGTGGCCACCTTAAGTCATGAGAGAGCTCTGTTACCTGAACATTCCTCTTAGCTCTGTTACCTGAACGTTCCTCTTGTTGAGGGACTGGCTCTTGCAGATGAGTAAGGGCCCGATGAGGCCCGATGCCATGTCTCTGACAGGGTCCACTGCACTATGGTACATTCTCGTCAAGCACTGTGGGTCCCGGATGGTCGGTTCATCCTCATCAATTACCTTCCACACATATGTGTGTGTTTCCCCAGGCTGCACCGAATGACTCTGATTTCCTTTAGAGGAGAAACACACACTGGGCAGACTATGCGTGTTGTCACACGCACACACACACACACACTGGGCAGACTACGTGTGTTGTCACACGCACACACACACACACACTGGGCAGACTACACGTGTTGTCTCACACACACGCAAACACACTGGGCAGACTACGTGTGTTGTCACACGCACACACACACACACACTGGGCAGACTACACGTGTTGTCACACACACGCACACACTGGGCAGACTACGCGTGTTGTCACACGCACACACACACACACACTGGGCAGACTACGCGTGTTGTCACACACACACTGGGCAGACTACGCGTGTTGTCACACACACACACACACACTGGGCAGACTACGCGTGTTGTCACACACACACACACACACACACTGGGCAGACTACATGTGTTGTCACACGCACACACACACACACACACTGGGCAGACTATGCGTGTTGTCACACACACACACTGGGCAGACTACGCGTGTTGTCACACACACACACACACACACTGGGCAGACTACACGTGTTGTCACACACACACACACACACACTGGGCAGACTACACGTGTTGTCACACACACACACACACACACACACACACACACTGGGCAGACTACACGTGTTGTCACACGCACACACACACACACTCACACACTGGGCAGACTATGCATGTTGTCACAGATTGGATCACTGGAGTTTGTCCGACTTTAACTACAGGAATTTCAGCCCCGCAGATTGTTGCCGCTAATTTGCCAAAAATGTGCAGAAGTGAAGTAATCCACACGGTTCAAAGGGTATTTATGACATTTGAGAGAGACCACGGGGAGGACAAAGTCAGGTGGGTTTTGTTAAATAAAAAGCAACTACAGGAATTCCTAAAATACTGACAGTCAAATGGGCAACTAAGAATGGAGAACAGGGTGTTCTTACCCCCCTCAGGATAGTAAGCACCCTCTGCATCTTTATCAATAGTCAGCCCATGTGGATAGATGCTGTACGGCCGGCTTGCCTTGTTCTTGAAGACGATCTGATCAAAAACAAAAAAAACTAATTACTGAATGGTTCTTCAGTGTAAACACCAAGACAATATTAACTGGCACTGCCCTACCTTCACAATATCCCTGATCTGAGCTCTAATCACAGGACCCAAGATTCCTGTCTCCATCTTCCGCAGCTTGTTGTCCTTCCTGACCGTAAATGTTTCATTTACATATTCCACAAAAACTGCTTTTTTGTACTTCTTGCCGATCCGATTGGGACCCTGCTTCAGATATCTGGATTGATACTCACTGTTCAAGGAGAAAATACAGAGAAGTGCAATTAATTGCAAGAGGAACATTAATGCATAAAGATGAGAATGGGCTGTCAAGGTACCTGTCGATATAATGAGGCACGTTTGGTGCGTAATCCCATGTAATCTCCTCAGCAGCAATGTAGTAGGTCCACTCCTGGCTATTGCGCTTCTGCTGGATTGTGATCTTTCGTACAGGGGGCGCTATACCCTTACAGACCTGAACCTCCACAAAGCCGTGCATTCCAGCTACAATGAAATCATGCACAGCAGTGGGATGGATAGTCACACAAGTTCAATCGACGAAACACTGCGATGTTCTGAAATGTACGGGAGGCTCGCGATCCCCCTAAAGACAAAGCTGTTGGCCCCACCTTCCAGATGGACGCCGATGTAAGACGACAACAGCCAACGTCCTGGGTGTACAGTGGTGATGTTTGTGCTGGTGGCAGTGCCGCTGACCAGGCCCAAGGAAGACCTCCTATGGCCGTCATGTTGTAGCACCTGTCCATTGAAGTGGACAGAGAAGAGCTCTGGCTCTGAGCTCATGCCCACCAGATGCCAGCTCACAGAAGTGTAGGCACAGATGTTCAGGTCTGAGAGCGTGCAGAAGATATATCTCCAAGTAAAGCTCACATGTCAGTTTGTACAGGAAATAAATTCCATAATCACATTCATTTGACCTCAGTGCAACAGATTGTGGTAAATGATGGTAAAAAATAGCTCATGCATACATCTTTACAATTTAACTTAAAAGTTTAATTATTATATATACAGTGCAGTGCAAAATTCTTAGGCTAACAAAGAAAACTGTTTAAAGCCATTTAAAGCTATTTATTTGGGCAATGAATGTATATTTGCTAAGAAAAAAAGCATTATTTAACATTTGAATATATACTCACAAACAGCACAGTGTATAGAGGGACAAGAATTTTCCAAACAGTTTCTGATATTTTGTTAAATGTCTAGAAGAACACAGCTTTGGTTCCAAAACCTCTCCTCAGGGGTGCCCCAGCCATTCCACGTATTTGTTAAATTTCACCACCAGCTCACTTAATTAATCAGTTAATAAACTTCATGGCACTGGTTAGCCAAACAGGGTGAGCAAAGGTACGCAAATATATGCGGATACTGGGTGGTTACAGCAAATACTGGGGTGACATGAGGCCAGGCTTTTAAATTGCGAGCTGGCACACTTTGACAGATATTACATTTTACAGATTTACAACAAGATAAACATAATTTCCTGTGGATGCCTGTAGAAGAGCTTCTTACAGTACGGCCTGCTTTTACTCACCAGGGACTGTGCCGTTGGCGTAGCCATTGATAGTGTACATTTTGTGATTCTTTGAGAAGGTCAGCTCTGTACTGTACCAGCTCTTACTCTCATCAAAAACACCAAAGAGAAGGACATATTCCTTAGAGAAATGGACCTGCTGACCAGAGCTGTCCAGGCTGCCTGTGACACATGATCAAATTACTTGGTCATTTAGCTATTTTTGTCCAAATATCCCAGGAGAAACAAACAAAAAAAACACATTTTGTGGGACGTTCACTAGACCTGAATTGTTAATAACCAAATATAAATGATGGTACAGATGCTTATAATATCCTTTATAACTGGTGCAAAGAGTGTAATATGTTTGGTATTTCTGCAAGGATGATATTATAGTACCGTTTTTGCAAACCATGAAGGTTCCAATTAGGCCAGAATTGAAGTCCTTGACAAAGTCGCAGTGAGAAAGGTAGGTGTAGGTGAGGCAGGGGGGGTCGGCCTCCTTAGGGGCCACCTCAGAGGTCACCTCCCAGTAGTACGTGTGCTCCTTCCCCGGCAGCACCTTGTCATCCTTCTTCTCGAATGGTGAGGTGTTATCAAAGTACAAGGCCCCTAAGAAGATCGCGTGAACATTGCAAAATGAAATGAGTAATTCAGCATTTAAATGGTTACCTAATGGGCTAGTGAGCTTAAAAATCTCCCGGGTGTTTAACACATAACAATCCATGCAAATGCAAATGCATATAATCAATGTATGCACTATGTTTTTAATAGCTTTCACTCTTTGTTCATATTTACTAGACATTTTCTACTGCTTGGACCTGCTCTGAAATAACAAAAAAAATCACTAAAGTAAACTAGCTGATATACCACGTCTCAGTCTTTTCGGACTTTAGTACAGCCTCTTTGGTAATCTCCCCTGGTTAAAATGTATCAAAACAAGTCAAGCCCATCTGTGTGTTTGCCCACTCTGTGTACTTAACTGTGTACTTGACAAAATGATCAGCTGCAGAGCCACACGTACTGAATAGCATTTTGTTGCAGCTGCACGTTTGTTTCAAACACAGCATTTTGTCTCATTTACTAAAAAAGAAAAATTCTAAAATCCCTCCATAGTACCGACCCTCTGACTGCTTGCCATAAGCAATGCCGTGTGGGTGGATGCTATATTCTCTGTCTGCCATGTTCCTGAAAGTCACAATGATAACATCTCCTTCCTGTCCACGCAGGGTGGGTCCCAGCAAGCCTGGAAAAGAGCACAATGACTATATTTTTATTAAATCATATTGGTCATCTTGGTATTTCACTTTTGGTGGGTATACGTTGCACAGCTGTGCCAGGACACTGGCATCCTTTACCTGACCATTGTTGGTGCTTCTTGACCTGCTGGAAACCAGCATTATATTCTCTATATACCACCTTGGTATAGGAGGGGCCGGACCTACGAAACACCAGTAACAAATGTTTTCATTAATCGAAAAAGGCACACAGCAGACATGGAGCATAGGATGTTGGCAGATAACACATATAGATGCTTTTAGTACTTAGAACATTTAATAAAAGAACAAATAAATTAAGGCCTTCTGAAGTATTGATGAGCAAATATTGTGTGTAGTGTGCAAACAATCCTACTCTATACGATGTAATATTTACCACCCTTCCCCCATTTTCGGTGTAAGAAAGCTTTTCTGTTGCTCTTTAAACAGAACACCTTGATACCCTTTAGCGAATCCCTTGATTGCCTGGTGATCGAGTTACCTGTTGCCATAGTTCCACTGTGTCTTGACAGCAGCGATGTAGTAACGTCGCTCCACTGCCAGGGAGGTGTGGATGAGAAGGCCCAGCAAGGTCAGCAGGAGAGGCTTCATGGCTGGGACGGGAGTTTCGGGAAGACCTGCCTCTTCTGGTCAACTGGTGGATTCCAGGCTTAGCTTTATAATTAACGTGAACACTGGGCCTGTACTGCAAACATAGTGTGCTCACTGCGATTGGAGGGGAGGTGCGCTGTCTGTGACAAGATAACCATGCAGCATTTCTAGCGTCATCCTTATCAGTTTGCTTTTATTTTTTTTGCAGCAGAAGCTGATAAAGACAATTGAGCGGATAATAAATACTCTGTGTGCTTTTAATGGAACATTATATATATATTTATATATATAAATACAAACAATGTGCTGGTCTTTATAATATTTTAGTAAAATCACCCATACTGGGGATCCTAGATGTATGACTATGAATGTGGATTTAAACCCCCACTTTCAGATGGGGGGGGCGTAATGGCTCAATATGAGCCACTGTTCTGTCTGCATTGCACTGTCAGTACAGAATGTGTTGTCTGGCACTATGAACAAAATCTTCAGTTCTTCAGTCACTTTGAAAACAGAAGTAGTTTCAAAACAAATACATGTACTTCATTTTAAACAGAGTTTAGATTCAGTTTGTGAACTTTCATTTCGCAAGAGTGCCATGAACCCAGACAGAACTGTCACAAATCACACTAAAAACCTGGAAATAATCTGTAAATACATCAAAATAGGATCTACACATGACCATGAGATACATATTGTTGTGTATCGCAGGACGAAGGACACAGGAGCAGCAGTCGGGGCAAAACTAAATGGATTTATTAGACATAAACAGGCAAGAAAATAAAAGGATCACGGGGGAATCTATTACACCAGGACTAACAGCGGGACTACAGTTACAACAACGTCAATGTCAGCACTGGGGAACACAGGACTGGGAAGTACCTTTATTCAAAGACTAACAAGGGAACAGAACAAGAGGCAGCTGGAGTGTGTCACAGAAACAAGAGGGAAGACGTGTCCATACCATTCCATGTACAAGGTTTTGGTGTTGAGTGAAATTCAAGCTTGAAATTCAGCTTCCAATTTTATAGCGATAACATTAATGTCACGTTAAGGAAAGTACCAAATGCCTCTCAGCTACATTTTTCCTAGTTAATTTGAGCAGAGCAAGGATTTTGGGTGCAATATTAAAATTACTTAGTAAAATGACTTGAAATTTTATCCGCACATGTGTCACAAAGTTCATGGGTGGGGAACTGGCTGCGTGACTGGGGAGAACCTGCAATATACTGAATTTCACCACAAGGGGGTAGCAAATTATCATCTGGAATAGGATCCGGAGCATTGCAGTCTGAATATAGTTGAGAGAAAGGGAAAATCCTGCAAGTGCTTTTATGTGTCATGTTTCCTATAAACACTACCCATTGTCCTCAGTTATGTCTTTACCATTGGCTCACATACAGACAATCAGGCCAATCTAACAGGGCCCAGAGTACATTGGTAGCTAACTAATGTCCATCATGGAAAAAGGGAATAAAATTCTGAAGGGAGAGCTTTTGATCATTCTGAACAGTTCAGAGAGATGTAACTTGCCAAATTATGCTTTTGAAATATTGCATTTGCCCATAAAACAGTGCACTCATGTGTGTGTGTTTGCGTTATTAAGTATGTGTTTGTGTGTTTGAGCCTACACAACATCACATGGTGAAAGCTGGTGTCAGATTTAAGTCAGGCTCGGGCTGAGAAACGATCTTAATATTCGGGCACGAGTTGAGTCAGGCTTGATCACCATGGGCTTGTGTCAGGCTCAGGCTGACGTTCAGGCCCATGCACAGCTCTAGTCCCTGGCCACAGTCTGTGTATCTGTTACTAATGCTAAAAAAAGAATTAAATTGCTGAGTTTATAAATACATTATCTATACGTTTGTGTACAGCGTATTTTTGTAGATCTGCATGATTTTCTCGGGAAATGTGTCATGTCAATGTAACTTTCAGTAAGAGGGAAAAAAATGGCCAGTGGAACAATTCTTTGAAAACTAAAGATGTCATACGTGATATAACAATGACAGCTAGTGTAATATGTGTAACTGTAAGAGAAAATAATATATATATATATATATATATATATATACTGAAGTGCCAGGCAGACCAAGGCATTGCGGCGGCAGTGGATGAAAAGGCTCAGACATGGTAGGTTATTTCCCAACACTGGAGCACATCAGAATCACACATACAACGCAGGAAAGGGGACACGCGATACTCGGGAGCACAAATGTTCACACTAACAAATACATACGGTTACTTTGACGACATATACAAGGGCCACGTGTAGGGCCCGCGAGTACACCGGGGTACGCTAATCCCACCGGCGCTACAATCTACTTTTCTGGGGATTTAGACACATGGCGTCCTGAGATACAACATGAACTTCACCTTATGGTACCCCAGTAAGCCTATGCCATTGGAAACGTAGGACACGACGTTCTGAGGAATACCATCTATATGGTCAACAGGAATGGGCGTGATGATGCTGTAACAATAATAACAGTAGTAGTAGTCGTCCACTTGTGCAGATGATTTGTTCACATTTCAGAAGACGTCCTACCTAGTCATTCTCAAGCAGCAGATCCTGTGGAACACACACTAATCACAGGTCGCGTAGATTCCCAACAAGAGGCTTCCAACGAAACTTACCAGAGATTAATAAAATGCATATTCACCAAATTTTTGTACGCAGCAAATTCTGATAGAGTCCCTTAAACAGAGAGCCTATGGTATGTGCCCAGGACACATGTATTTGGCAAACAAACGAATAAATATGCAACTACTGCACAATCCTCACATGATACTAAATGCCCAGTTATGAGAGGGAGATACCTTCAAATGTCCATCACATGGACCACTGACATCGCCAGTCAGTCTTTGTGCAGCTAATGGCTTCAGATTCGCTGTCACGAGCTATAGCACGAAGCTCAAACCCATCCTACAGATTATAGCTGCCGTTCAGCCACAGATTTCTGTTCTCTGATGACAGATATTTGCAGTACGTAGCACAGGACCACCCCCATTGTGTGATTTTGAAAAGCCTACAAATGCTCCTCAAGTGTGGAAAATCCCCATCTACAGCTAGTCTTAGCAAAAACAATGTTCTCCCAGAATAAGTTGCCCTCTCTAATTTACCATTCATGATTCACCAACAATTACCTTCCCACAAGTCATTGTTCATAATAGAAGTATGTTTTCCTCTGCTGCTTTCAGCATTACCTATTGAATCATTAAGAGTGTCAAGTTACCAAGAAGGATAAGTGTCTGACAAACAACACTTACGGAGTTGTGTGGCAGGCTGCCTTTGTCAGAGTATGTTTTTGTGTGTCTCAGTGAAGTGCGCTCCCTGAAAAACAACCCACTCTGCAATCGCTCATTTTTGCTGCCCACACAACCACCTGCTCTTATGTATTCAAACCCATAACCCTTAAAGCAGGAATTGGACAACATTTGTGAAATGGTGCGAAATTAAAAATATCACCAATTTCTTCTGCCTTCATTATTTTCATTTGTAATTTTTTTTTTTGTAATTGTTTGAAATGTTACGTATACACAATAACATACATTAAAATAGAACAGAATAAAATTATATATTCAGATTTGTCTTAAACAGCTGTGGTTTACCTCTGAGCAAATTTCCTTTTACCTAATCTCAAATATGTTAAATAGGAATCGTTCAATATGCATATAAGGCCAATAATGATATAAGGCCAATCTGCCTGTACAGAGTTGAGCATGTCTGTGGCAAAATATTTTTATTGAGGAATAAAAAAAAACTTTGTAGGTTACATTTTTATATACTATGCCCATGGGAAAAATGCATTTTGATCAAAATGTCCTTCAGAATAAAAAATGCTGTTGACCCCTGCATGATATACATTACTTGGCTATTGACTTATGTCAATAATACAGACAATTACCCTGCAGGAGGCACAACATGCCTGAAGAGGGCAGTATAGAACAAAAAGCATCTGCTCCTTTAGCAAAAACTGAAGTCATATAGTATTTATGCATAAAACATGTGCATACAAATAACACAACATAGCCAAAAACAACTAAAAAAAGATACCAGAAACATCTATTCACTGACACAGAGTAGTACATTCCTTACAAAAGACAAAAAAAATGTAAAAACAATTTTATATATGAATGCATCAGTAAAAGTGAACAGATTACTTAGAATATTTACTGAAACAAGTTTGAAAAAGTGTAGCTGCTTTAAATTATACACTGGGGAAAGACTGTTTAAGTCATAAGAATGGGATTTTGGCTCAGTCCACATAAAATATAAATAAACTACAGTCCACAGTTGAAGAATTTTCCTTAGTAACCGTAGCCTTGGTGATAACCATCTTGGTAACCATCATGGTAACCCTGGTTATGGTAACCATAACCTCCGTATTCTTCCTCCGGACATCTCATACCCAGCGACTGCTGGATGGCCATCTCCTGTCTGCGTAGCTGCATGGAGTCCACCATGTCGTAAATGATGGCCATCGACCACATGGGGGAGGGGTACCAGGATTTCACATTGCCATCTTTCCCCACAAGCAGCATGGAAAAGTATTCAGGACTAATCTGGAAGTAGTTCCTGATGTCCCTCACCAGAGAGGCCGAGAGTCCCTCTCGTTCCACAGTAGCACTTCCTGCAAGCAAGCAGATCGATTAGTGTTAACTTTGCCCCCGTGTTTCACCATTAGTGAAAATAACATGAAAACATCGGACACGCTACAAGGAGAGTTTCTGGTTACAACCTACTTCAGCCAAAAACTTGAATGACAAGGGTTTTAGTGAGTAAATCAGTTTTAGTAATATTTTGCATTAACTGTACCTACATAATGCCTTTATAATGCATTCATAGAGCATTCAGTGCACCTGCATAATGCATTCATAGAAAATTCGTTAACAGCATGTAAGTATCTCTTAACATCCTAACATATCTTAACAGCTTTAATATACATTAATAACAAACATTATACGATAGTAATAAATACACTGCCTGGCCAAAAAAAAAGTTGCACATTTTAATATTTCGTTGGACCGCATTTAGCTTTGATTATGGTGCATATTCGTCAATGATTTCCACATGCTTATGCAACATCTCAACATTTTTTTCATCCAGATTTGCATTAATTTCTCGTTGTAATCTTATATCGATGATATTTATGGAGTTGAACCACTCTATTAAGTCTTCTTCAGCACATCTCAAAGATTTTCAGTGGGGTTAAGGTCAAGACTCTGTGGTGGCCAATTCATGTGTGAAAATGATTCCTCATGCTCCCTAAACCACTCTTTGACAATTCGAGCCCGATGAATCTTGGCATTCTCGTAGAAAAAATCCATTGCTGGGATACCCTGGCCATTCAGGAGATTCAGGTGCTCAGCTGACTTCAACTTATCGCCGCATAACGTTGCTGAGCTGTAATACTGATCCAATCACTGGCTCTTAAGTACAGTTTGCTGATTTAAATTCAAATGGCGACAATTTTTTTGGCCGGGCAGTGTATCATAATCACATATCATACAATGTTTAATCATTAGTAATTGTATACTCATATGATGCCAGTACTGCTGCTTTCTTTCACATGGTACTCAGTAGATAAACCAACAATCTTTTTGCCTGTGACACCCTTACCGTTTATGGCATGGAGCTCCAGCACCCCACCCATGTCCACGGGATCGACACCCATCAATTTCAGAATGGACATGTGACGCAGACCTGGAGGAAGAGGCCTCTTGGTCAGTTACAGTGAGACCTATGACATTCATTCCACCTCCATAAAATTTAAACTTTTCAGCACTTGCTTCACACAACAGTTTGGGTACTATAGTGGTGAGCGGCTCCGCAGGCTAAGTTCCCGTGATGGGAAGCCAGGAGTCACATGCTACACATCCTGATCCCGAGATTTGGAGAACAAGGTGCGGGAGGCGAAGAGAAGAATTCCGGCGTACTTGTGCAAATAAAGGATGTAATCTTATATACAGTACTGTGCAAAAGTCTAAGGCGGTCAAAGAGAATACCATATAAATGATTTTCATGTTGGTATATAACCTGATATTATGCCAGTCAAAGTGTGTCAGCTTAGCCATTTCAAAAACTCTCCTAAAGTCAGCCTAGTGTTTGCAGTAACTGTCCAATACAACCATATATTTTTTTAATAGACCACTACCCGACCCTGTTTGGCTAATCAATACCTCACTGAGTTATTTAATGAATTAATTCCTTAATTGAGCTGGGGGAGCAATTTAAGGATAACTGGATTGGCTAAGGTGCCCTTAAGGAGAGGTTTGGGAACCAAAGTAGTCTTCATATAGCCATCCAACATGATATCGGTAACTTTTCGGAGAACAGTTCATTTGCAGATGTTATGTTAAATTGGGTTAATCTGTTTTTTTGTGAGCAAATATACACTTACTACTCAGATAAATAGTCTTAAACATTGTCATTGCCTACCTAAGACTTTTGCATATTACTGTATATGAAAAATAAATACACATTGGTCAAGAATGACACATACAACTAAGCCATTTTGCAAGCAAAGTGAAACCAGCCTTTCTGTGAGTCGCACATATAGTCTCACCCAGGTTACAGCCTTGGCTGCTCAGCGCTTGGAGCTGCTGTTGATAGGCCCATTCCTCACCGCTGGGGGCAGAGATGATAAATATTCGGCGTCTCCAGCGGAACCTGAGGTCAGACACTCCAATCAGCACATCCTGCTGTCACAGTTGACCGCCAGTCGCACCAGATGAGAAACACATCATGGGTCTGGTCAAGGCTGTTTTCCATTTTATATGATAATTTGTCAAATATTTTTAGATTTTTAATGAATGAAAAAGCAAACAGGTCGATTCTGAAAAGAATCGGTTCAACTCGCTCACAAATCGGACACCACTATCATTCATTTGAGGAATTGAAGCTCTCATAGTGCTTATCTTTCCGACTGAAATTCACGCAACTACAAATGCAATTCCACATTGTATTGGACTTGGGTACTGATATACCAGTCATATTAGAACAGATTTGCAGTGTGATATCATGCTCTCTAGCAGGATTGACTGCATATCGTTCTGTGACACTACCTTGAGAGGAAGTTCTCTAAAGATCTCGTCTTGTCTTCTTTCTTGCACATCACGCCATCCCTCCTCTGTTGTTCCATCTCTTGGATTCGTGAGGTGAAGGTGTCAATGTAGTCGAACACAGCCTTCATGGAAATAGGCACTTCATAGTATTGCTGCAATGAATGAATGAGACGGACACACATTAAAATTGTATATTTTGATGAGGGCACTAAATCAGCCATAAGTATTCAGCAGCTAGTGGGATTACTATTACTCATTTATAATTCATCTGAAAGGTTTAACAGACTAATCCATTCCCAGCCGCTTAGCCTGGGTCTGGTGCCGGGGGCAGCAGTCTAAGCAGGGATGCCCAGACCTCCATCTCGCCAGCCACCTACTCCAGCTCCACCGGGGGAACACCGAGGCGTTCCCAGGTCAGCCGAGGGGCATGACTGTATGTCCTTTCCAAGTCCAAAAAATACACTGGTTAGGGCATGAACTCCCATGAACCCTCCTGTGTCCTTGTCAGAGTGAAGAGCTGGTCCAGCATACTGCGGCCAGGACAGAATCCGCATTGTTCCTCCTGAATCCGAGGTTCAACCGATGGACGGACCCTCCTGGTAAGGTCTACCCCGGCATAGACTTTACCAGGGAGGCTGAGGAGTGTAATCCCTCTACAGGTGGGACACATCCTCCAGTCCCCTATCCTAAAAATAGGGACCACCACCCCAGTCTGCCAATCCAAAGGCACTGTCCCTAACGCCCACACAATGTTGAAGAGGCGTGTCAGCCAAGACAGCCCAGCAAAATCAAGAGCTTTGAAGAACTCAGGGTGAATCTAACAGACTAATAATCTCTTAGGCTAATAAAAATTAGGCTTAGTGAATTTGGTTTTAATTAATCTCTCTGAAGATCAACAACGTTTTAAGCTAGATGAGCACGTCTTTAGTACAAAACATTTTGAGGAATGATAGAAGATCCTCCATAGTACGTCTTTCAATGATGATTGAAGGCGTCACACAAAAAAAATAACTACAAACAATGGATTCATGTTTTTGAATGGTCCATTCACAAAACAAATCACGCAACAGACACACTATTTACAAACAAGCAAACAAAGAGGCAGAATAATTCTGCGTTCCATTCATCTCAGAGGTCGGAGCTGGGAACGACATCACACCCCAGTTAACAGCATTCCAGTACAGTCGGAAAGCCATTTAGCAATACCAGGGACCCATTTCAAAAAGCAAGATTTCTTGCTTAGCTGGATAACTTAAGGGATTTAATTTACCCCAGTTCAAATGGCCTTTATCTTTGTTCACTTACATTTAGCTCAGACTAATAAGTTCGGGGGGGGGGGGAGCTCAGGGTTGTGCAGATCCCTCTGACTTCAGGAGTCAGAATTCCGACTTCAGGGGGCATTCCAGTTGAAATTTCCGACTGGGAACTCGGAATTTCCGAGTTACGAGTTCAGATGGAACGCAGCATAAGAGCAAGGTCCAACAGCCATTTGATCCCGCCACATTTGTGAAAGTGCAGCTGAGTGTACGGAACCACCTGCATTACCTTCACTTTCATGTCAAAGTCGGTCAGCACCATGAAGAACTCGTTATCTGTCATGCCAAACCCCTTTCGCAGCTCAGCGATGAGATCTTGATTTACAAGCTCCCCTTTTCTCAGGCCTTTCATGGGCTTGTCATGCTCTGCAACAGAAAAGCCTTTTCAAATGCTCACATATTTACTTTGCCCTGACTATTCAAAGCCTGACCCTTCATAGTGATCCAGCCACTGCAGAACACACTTCATCTGGCACCTTTAGGATTTATTTTAGACACCTCTCCTCAACTTTAGTCTAAACTCTAAAACATCTACACAACTAAAACTAAAAGCCTTTGATCATAAGCAAAAAACAGCAGAAATGTAACAGTGGTGTATGTTTGTTTCTTCATAAAAATTACATAAAAATTCAAACAATTTTGATTTCAGACATATTGACGATACAAAACAGCTTTATTCAAGTAATTTTAAGAATAGATGTGTACCGTTATCATATGATGTCTATAAAATAAGGAATAAAAACAATTATGTGTTGTCTCACATGTTTTAAATGAATAGAATAGTGCATGAAGCAGAAGCAGTATTGTATTTTGTTATTTTTTACAATTAGCCAGCTGAATGGAGCACTGTGAACACATACCACTCTAGGGATTTAAGTTTGTACACTGGGTGTGTGTATGTGTGTGTGTGTGTGTGTGTGTGTGTGTGTGCGTATGTGTGTGTCCTGGATTTGTGCATTACTTTCAGCCAAGAAAGAACATTGGTTTCCCTTATAGAGAAAGCGAAACTGGTGCCAAATGCGATACCAAAATGTGAGCATTACTATTACAATGTACTCTTACACGATACAATGTTCAGATATTAGCAGCCTTCATCCCACATTAATAAGCTATTTTAGGTAATTTTACTTGAAAGGGAATGAATAATGTAGTAGTACATGCTTACTTAATGTATTTATTAACCAGAAACTAAGTGTTAATTACGTACTGATTCCATGTTCATTAATCAGTAATAGATCATGATGGTTCATGTATTTTATGTTAGTTCATGATTTATTCCTAAGTAGTAACTGAGTAACTAAGTTATTTAAGTACAGTGTTGCCTGTGATTTATTGAGTAAAGTGTTACCCTGTTTTATGTTTCGAGTCATGGCAGAATATATCCCGCTGAGCAAAGATCAAGTTGCTGTGGTTTGGAAGCAAAAGGAAGCTGAGGTGGAAATGACAGATAAATTGGATTTTGTCACTCGCTTTGCTTGTCAGACTGCTCTATCAGGTACATTGACACAATGTGTGTTATATCATTTCTGCACAGTATTTCACAGACTTTGGTAGCGATAACCCCTAAATTAGGATGTCATGCAGAAACAGCAGTACTTATTTAGAGTGCCTGGCAAATCAAAATTGGCTGTCATGATAATTCCTGTGCTGGTAAATTTACATAGTGTGTAGCTAGTAGTGGTGGAAGCAAAAGAGCTGTAACTATGTTTACATATATTTTGAAAATTAAAGTTCATTCTTAAAGTAAGCATAGCAACCTAAGCTAAATAAATGTCCAGTAACACAAAAGATCCGGCAAAGTCGGACCCAACAGATTTTCAAACACCTGCAACCATCAGCCTGAACTGCAAAGCATACAGTCTCAAATCTGAGGGTGCTCTGGAGTAATATATTACAAGGATTTGGGTGGCCATGTCATTTACAGGTGTTTCAAACCACAGGCATCACGCTGCACATCATTTAGGCTTTAAATCCTTCCTGGCATACAAAGGACAGGCAAAGCAAAACTCACCTAGCTGGTAATGGTCAATTTTCATTGTGCTGTTTTCCAGATTCCCAAAGATGGTTATAACGGAGAGTTTCCTGATAGCCATCTCGCACACATTCTCCAGGTACTCGTCTCTTTGCTGGACATACATGCGGTGCTCCTCAGTGGGGCTGGTGATCAGCTGTGGGGAGATGGTTGTGTTGTGCACGCTGAAGGCCAAAGCTGAATCCCACACAGTCTGCTCATCTCCGTGTATTTCTACAGTACTTTTGCACGTGACATTAAAACAAAATTCCAGACTTTTTTTGATCAGTTACATTGTTTAAAATTCTTTCCCCGTCACACAGTTTTAACAATGCCAGGAGAATTATGCTTGGGTGAAAGGAGACAAGCATTTAGCATAGACGATAAATTTATGCGAAACTGATTTACCTTCAACAACATCCTGTTGAAAGCTACTGTATCAAACTATTGGTTCAAAACATACTCACAAGCAGCCGTCTTCTACTTTCAAAGTAATCCATAAAAGAAGTTAAAACTCCCTTGGAAGGTGGTGGTTTCTTTGACGACTTCTTGATTTCGTCTTTCTCTTGGTTTTTGGGCGCCTGCTTTTCTGTCTTTTTGGTGAGACTTTCTCCTTTCCCATCTTTAGGTGCCTTTGCCTTCTTCTCTGCTCTGTCCTTCTTCACCGACTTTTCGGTCTTGTCTCCCTTCCTCTTCTTCTCTGTGTTATCCTTGTTCTTGTTCTTTTTGGCCGTGACAGACTCTACTTCCGTGTTGTCTGGATGTCCAACAGTAGGTCTGCTTTCCGTATATGTATCCTCATATTTATTGGTTCTTACTGTTCCAGCACTTAGAGTTTTCTGTTGTTTTGTTTTAGTTTGCCTAGGTTTCATTATCGTGACACCAGCGTTCTCGTTATTGTAATTCTTTTTGTCTGCAGGATTGTCTCCATGTCGGCCAGTGTAAGCTTTGGTGTAGTAATCAAGTGGGTGAGTTGGGTAAGGAGTTGCTCTGGGTTTACTTCTGCCCTTGACAAGGTCTCTAGTAAGAGGTTGGAGTTCAGAGTCACCCTTGGCTCTGGACGCTGAAATCCGGTGATTAATCCTTGGAGCTTTAGTGGGTTCCGGAGTAGAAGCTGAGATGGTGGTATCAGGAGGAGCTGTTGTGGTTGTCGTAGTGGTTGGCACAGTGGTAGTAGTGGGCCGGGTAGTGGTTGTTGTTGTTGCTGCGGTAGTCGTGGTGGTTGTAGTTGTTGAGGTTGTAGTCATTTTAAAGGTGGTTGTTGGGAGCACAGTAGTCTGAACTGGCCTGGGGGTTGGTTTCTTCTGTGGTTTCCGTTCAGCAGGCACACCCACTTGGGGGTCAGAGTTGGGGGTCCCCATTACATCACTCTCAATGACTTGTCCCTCCACGCCAGCCTCCTTGCACTTCTGCACAAAGCCCCTCTGCCTGACCTTCTCCAGCTTGCGCACAGGGGCCCGATCGATCACCTCGTACATGGCCTCCAGCCTGACAGGGTAAGGGTACCGCTCCTCTACTTGCAGTGTTTTACGTAGCAGCACCATCCCAAACTTTCCCTTCTCCAGCTTGAGGAAGTTCATCAGTCTGGGGATGAGCGCTGTGTCCAGCGACTCCTCTATGATCTTGCCCTCATTGGTGATGCGGCGCACTTTACCTTCCATCTCGCCCTCCTGATGGAAGAGCACAACCTGCTGAACATGCCTCTCTGCCAGCTCACAGTACACATCCGGCTTTAGGAGGGACATCATCAGGCGAAAGTAGCCATCTGAGGCATGAGGTGCAGAAATGACCAACACACGATTTTTCCCGGCAAAGTTTGCCAAGACGCTGGGAGACCGATTGCTGCTTGGCATCTGGGTCTGCCTAGGGTGGACCCCTGGTCTGGCCTCATCCTGGACCATTTCAGTTTGGCTAAGGTTTCGTTGATTGTTTTGTCTCCTCTTTAGCAGTCCGTTACGTTCCCTATGTGCAGGATGATGGTGATCTCCCTGCAGTTCCACCAACCTCACATCTGTTCCTGAGATGGACGGAACGTTTCCATTAACTATTCTTTTAGCCTGGGTATTTGAAGTCAGCCTTGGCATATATTTCCTGGCATTAAGGAAGGGTTTTGCATTTCTATCAGTCGCATTGTTTTCGGAGGCAACTCCTGTCCAGGCTAAGAAGAGCAGTCCAACACTAATTGCGAAAATCCCCTTCATTTCCCCACTGCGATAAATAATCACCCACTGAAAATGAAATATACCATATGGGGAGCGTTGAGCTTAAGAATGTATCCCTTTGTTTGTGGGGGGAAAAAATTGTAAACTGACCGAAATAAAAATTCTGTGGTACAGATGTAACTCTCTCCAGTACTCAAGCAGAAGGGAACTCCGCTAAGTCATGGTGAACAGTGCGAAACAAGATGTATACATGGATGTGTCCGCTCTGAACAGATCACGGCGTTTAAAACCTTACACGAAATTATAGACATGCAAAACAATGCTTGGCATTCAAAATTTCACAAAACTTAGCCGCCTATTTCTGCAATTTTAAAAAGCATATATTTTGTTAACTAAGAAAATTAACGTTCTGTAAGTAACTAACAGTTTACCGGCCCATGTAAAAAAGTTCCTCTTTCTTTGTATCCGTGTAGTCCATTAAATCCGCTATTTTGCAGTTTTTCACGTAAACATGATGCCTAAGTTTCAAACGCGAATCAAAACTAAGAAAAGTAACGTTGCGCAACTAATTCATCTCGTCTTGATTCTTTTGCCCTCTCAACTTTTGGAAGCTATCCCAAGAATGTGAAGAAAGCCACAAGCTGCATGCCCTGTGCCGAGCAGAAACAAGGACCGACCGCGGGAGAGAAGCGACACACAGAAGGGGGGAAACACAAACCCCCTGCCCGCCTCCTCCCCGCCTACATTGGGTCGACATTTATTTTGGGTGATATAGATACTCGCTTTCTCAGGGGTCCGTGCACGAGGCTATTTTATTTTAATTGATTAGTGGATTTAAATGAATAGCCATCGTTTATTTACACGATCCTTTATATGGGATTAAATATTAAAAGTCACATAAGGACTCCGTTTTAAACGTTCAAATCAGTACATGATATTGCTAATTAGCAAGTACTTATTACTTAAGTAATCAGCTGTCATTGAACTTAAATTTTAATGGACATCTAAAGAATGGTCTTTTAAGTACTTAAACTCTGCATTCAGAAATAGATTTTTACTGTCTATCTATCTATCTATCTATCTATCTATCTATCTATCTATTTTTCACCATATATGTGTATATACACAACATTACAGGCTGGTCACTTCTGTTTCCTTAGTCACATGTCTTTTGGGGGTTTTAAGAAAAGCTTTTTGGCCTGAATGAAAACACCCTGCTTCTGGTGCCAAATTACTTAGAACTTTCCCTGGAAAGCATCCAGTTCAGTCCTAGACTGAGCCTCTGTTCCCCGCACATGCTGGATTACATACTGGACTGTTTCTTTATGTGCTCATTGGGTGGAAACCTGACATTTCCTTTTATTGCACAAGAAATGGGAAGGACATGCATATTTTCGTGGTTGCAAAAACCTCTCCCCGACATCAGAGAGAGGGCCCCAGTGATCATGTGGAAACAATGCACTCATAAAATCATATACCGTGAGTCATCTAACACACACATTCAGAGCAAACATTTTCCTCGATTGACTAAACAGTTTCAGCACTCATCTGTTATGCACAAGCTAGACTGTGAACATCAAAAGACAAGCAAGTTGTAATACAATTGATGCACATTAATAATGCTACCATTTACCATTAGCTGAGCAGCTAGTTGTTGGTTCAATTCGACAGAATAATTTCTTAAGTCTTTTGCCATTAATTGAGAAGGGATGAGGGAAGCTAATCAAAGAGCTGACAGTGGAGATGTATGGACTGCAGTGTATGGCCATGATACTAGATTTACATGAAACCATGAGCCATTGTGAACTTTGAATCAAAAATGCATTTGCTGAGTCTCTTGTGTAAATTATTGTCTCCGAGTAAACACTAAGCTACCCTCCAACTCCTTCGCAGTGCTGTTTACATAGATAAAACTATTCTAATTATATACCAATGACCTACGTATTGAAGCAGCTGCTTTGTTTAAGTATGCTTTCCCAAAATAACGCTTAGTTCTAACTTTGAGCTTTTTTGTTCAATGCGTTATTATACATGTTGCTCTAATAATCATGTGTGCAAAAATGTATTCATTGTTTTCAATTCCTCAAAGCAACTAGGAATCAGCATCTAGGAACATTTAAAAATTCAATTCCACGTCCATACAATTGCTCATGCTCTGTAATTTCATGAACCCATTTATTATAGACTTACAGTCTGTACAGGGCACAGAAGAAAATCAAATTCACCGCTTGTTCCTTATTCATTTGTAGTCTAACAAGGATAAATCACTTGAAACCAGCTGAAGACCACTAGGTTTTTAGAGACATAAGTCCAATAGGTAGGGTCCTACCTGGACTGTACAAAATACAGTGGACAATGCTGGAAATTCCAACAGAAACCGTGAAGATCTTTCATTGTTGTATATCAAGTGGTGGAGAGCAGTAGCGAACACATGAACTGCTGAGCTCAAAATGCGATGACGCAACGACAGGTAACAACCGGAAACCAATGCAGGTTTTCAGATTGGTTTGATCCTCCGAGTTTCTGATTCGCTAGTGAGCTAAAGTTAATCTACACAAACAGCCAGATATGTTCAGTATGACATTATTAGTCCCATAAATCTTTATTGTCACACGAGGTTGTTTGCAGCTGTCATGCTGTCAACTCATTCTGCATCTGTTTGTAGATTACGATGCTCCATTTGATGGAGGTATGGGGGTGTTTTTCTAGCTTAGTAGCCAGTAGGATTTCAAGCTAATACCTGCATGCCAGAGATCCTTAACCTTTTTTGTACCATGGACCCATCTGGCAGTCTGGTGAAGCTTTAACTTGTCAGTCAAAGGTCAGTCAAAATGTCAAAAAAGTCAATTTTTCCCATCCGAGTATGTGTTACTCCTGAAATCTATCTGAGAACTCCTGTGCTAAATCCATCATTGGGAGGGTTACTGGCTTGGGAGACAGTTTTATGATCTTCCTTTTCACAGGTTTAGAAAAGCCCGTACACATAAATGACAAAACCAGACACAGGGAGTAGGATCCAGGTCTGTCACTAGTCACAGATAATGACAAAATCAGGTGAAATGTACACAGAGAAATGACTCACAGTAAGCAGATATCCCTGAACACTTCCTGTAGGAACAAATAAGAACAAGTAAGCCTTTATGTGTGACAAATGAAGAAAATAAGATGACATCCATGTTTTTTGAACATTAGAGACACCCATTAACTCATTCTTGTCATGCCCGACTCGTACGATTCTCCTGTGAGCCACGCCCCCCTCGTTAACCTTGTGTGAAATCCCGATTGTTACTAGCTGTACCTGGGTGCCAACCCCGGCTCCAGCCCCTGTGGTTCCTGTGCCGCGGTTCCTGCAGTGCCCCCTGCGGTTCCTGTGCGGGTGGTTCCTGCAGCGCCCCCTTTGGTTCCTGTGCCGGCGGTTCCTGCAGTGCCCCCTGTGGTTCCTATGCCGGTGGTTCCTGTAGCGCCCCCTGTGGTTCCTGTGCCGGCAGTTCCTGCAGCACCCCCTGTGGTTCCTGTGCCTGTGGTTCCTGCAGCGCCACCCGGCGAGGTTCCTGTGCTGCCGCCCGAGGTTCCTGTGCTGTCGCCCAAGGTTCCTGCGCTCCGGTCTCCCGGTCGCCTGTGGCCCCTACGGCTGCCGTCTTTCGCCCACTGGGGTTCCCTCGGACTCCCCGTTTCCCCTCATCTGCCTTCCTGCCTCCCGTTTTTTGTGCCCCCTGTGTATGCTCCTCATCCCTCCATTTCTCCTTCATTCACTCCTGGCCCCTTCGTTCCTGGAACGGGGTTATAAATCATTACTAACGTTAATGAACTGTCAAGTGCCAAGCTAGTTCAGAAACACGATACATACTTTTGTGCATTTGTGCATGTATGTACACAATGTGTGCAATTGTGTATGTATGCATGTATGTATATACATAAGTGCTTGCCTCTGTGTGTCTTTAAGTTAGCATCCTTTCTGACTGACATATTTATGTAAGAGGTATTCATGGGCAAAAGACTGGCAGTAAGTTTGGAATACAATGTACATACTGTGTTTGCACTTAACTGATAGCCTTATATGTTACGGAAGGCATGTATTCAGTGAATGACATGTAAGAAAATAAAACATGCCCAAAAAAGTATTTCAAGAAAGGGTTTTCTATTGTGGGGTGTTTATTTTGGATTGCACCTATCTTAGGACCTAATGCACATCATGGAAAATGGGTTTGATAAACAAATTTTGAGTACCTCTGCACCCCCAGGGGCACGTGCCAGGGCCAGGAAGGTCTGGCTAGCTTGAACAAATGTATTCTAAACACGTTTTGGGGCTGACGACAATGCAGAGTTTCATGGGCCTCTCTCTCAGGCTTCTGGGTGATCATAAACACATGGAAGGCCTCTGCTCAGAGGCAAACAGGCCTGTTAGTCAGGGACAAGCACTCTGAAAAGTGGGGAAAAAAAACATCCCAGCCGAATGACATATTTACAGAATTCTATACCCATTTTATAAGACGTCGTTGTTGCATTCTTTATTATTATTCTATTTAAAATATCCAACAATGTTCAATAATTCCAACAATTGTTGCTTTTTAACGCAGCACCTGGTAGGCTTATCTAACATCTCACATGCTACTTATTAAGACGAATCTGTGAGCTATGCATCTAATCAACCCGTGTCACTCAATAGCCACATAACTATACAGCATTACCTGTAGAATGAAATAAATCATTCTTGGGTCAAAATGGAAGCCTCAGAAAGAGATATGAAACTGACTGCTGTCAAGTAAGTCATCTCTCTTGACTAAAAATTTTCTAACATATGGTCATGGTGTCTATTCTAATTAGGCTGGAAGTCACCCACAAATACCCTGAGAAAGCAGTTAAAATTTACGTGCATATTTCAAGTATGAATTGCTTAGTTTTAGTATCATGCACCAACATTTAGGTGATCTACATTTACTAAGATCTTACTTTTGAGTTGGACAAAAGCCAGACTTCTGTTAAAGATGTTCCTGCATAGCATTGTGGGTGTTGATTGTGTAACTTTCACAGTTGGCCTTTGGAAAGAGACAAGGCTGTACAAATACGCAGTAAAGTTTCCAATGACCTTTAAGGTCCTGGATCTCCTAAGGAAAAATCTGCTCAGTACTGCAGATGTAGGACTATTTGTGCTCATAATTCCCCCACACCAGGTCTGTTGTGAGCCATTTAATCGTGTTTTGGACAAATTTCCAAAAGTTAGAATCAATCACCTGATCATATAATAGTACTTTATTTCCACCAAGATTCATTTAAGCGTTTTAGGTTAAAGTCCTAGTTCTTTAATCCAATTCTGTTTTCACTCCCATACATCTACAATGTGTCATACATCTAATAATGATGCAGTCCTGTTTTCAGTTTGGTCTCTTAGTCACATGCGTTTAGTAAAGCTTTCCAAATGCCAGCTTTGTCCTGCTAGATAAATTGTTAAAACAAAAGACAGCGTTATGCTTCAGGTTTCCTGTGCTTTCCGTTGTCTTTCAAGCGGGACACTTTATGTATTACGTTAACATGATGGAAAGCTAAGACTCTTGGAATGCAGCGGCAATATCTTTGTGTTTGTGGGGCTGAGAGATGTAAAATGTACTCAGATTGGACTGTTTTTCATAGCATGCAAGACTGCCAGTGGCCCTAGAAGTAATTCAAGCCAAAA